GGCCCCGCCACCACTGCAGTGGCTGGGCACGGCCGAGGGCCCACCCCCGCGGCGTTCTGATTGGCTGCACGGGCATCTTCCCACCGCGCTTCGCTTGATAGCCGGTGGCGCGCCTGTGGTGGGTCCTGGCTCGGTGTGCAGGTTGCAGAGATCCCGGCGGCCGTCATGACCGAGGGCACGTGAGTCCTCGCGCTGGGTGTCCCACCAGAAGGGAGAGCGTGGTCGGGGCGCGGAGGAGGTCCCGCGTGGGCGGGGGCCGCCTGGGGTCGGGGCCGAGGAGAGCCGGGTGGGATGGGGATCCTGGGGAACCTGGTGGCCGGCGCCTCCGCTTGCCACGACAGATAACGGGGCAGCAGCGAGAGGCCGGAGTGGCGCTGAGAGTGTTTCCTGCCTGCGCGTTGCTGGAGGGGAGACCTCCGGGCTCTGAGCTAAAGAGAAGGCAGGATGGCCACTCGTGATCGTTTCCAGGTGTCTGCGTCGTCGAGGGGGACCCTATAAGACAGAGCCCGCCACTGACCTCAGCCGCTGGCGACTCAGCAATGAGAGGGGAAGGCAGGTGTGGACTTATTTGCAAGAAGAGGACCACCCCGGCCGCGGGCAGACTGCGCTGGAAGCTCACTCCGTGGGACTGGACACGGTGGGTGCTCGAGGGCTTCCCACACAGCCGGGGACTCCTGCTCACGCTCCTGATCCTTAGCCGGGAGCACCGGGAACCAGCAGGGAGTTTCCGAAAGCTGCCCGTGGAGGGTGTCTTCTTGTTGAAGTGGGAGGGATGTGCAATGTGGGGCCGGGCCCACCTGCCACTGAGGCTGGTTCCTGCGGGAATCAGCTGGTTCTATACAGGGCGTGAGTTGAATTTGCTTCAATTCCTCTATCAGTAAGTCGTCGGTAAGAAACTGCTCTATTTTATTTTTTTATTATTCAGAAAAAATGTTGTTGGGTTTGTGTGTGTTTTTAATCCTCACCAGAGGATATGTTCTTACTGAACTTAGAGAGAGGGGGAGGGAGAGAGAGAGGAACATCGCAGAGGGGGACCCCATAAGACAGAGCCCACCGCTGACCTCAGCGACCTGGGTGTGTGCCCTCACTGGGAATCCAATCTGCAAACCATCTGGGGCATGCGACAACGCTCCAACCAGCCGAGCCACCCGGCCAGGGCAGAAAAAATGTTTTTGATCCAGTAAATGTCATAGAAGAAATTCAGCTAGTCAGAGAGTATGCAGTGTAAATGGGTCTCCTGGTTGTGCCCCGGCCACCAGTTGCTGTGTGGTCCTCTGGCCCCTTCCTGTGAGAGAGAGGCCTGAATTTCAGGTCTGCGTGGGCATCGGGGCCCCACCCCACGCTCTTGGGCACTTGGAGAAGTGAAGAAATTTGCAAATATGTGTGGCTGGAAAGCGAAACCATGAGAGCCCGGAGCTGTCCTTTTACTTTGCTGAGATGGTAATACCATCATCGAAGAGTTTCAGATTTTTTAAATTGAAACAGCTGAGACTTTTAAAGTAATTCAGATTCATTATTTCGGCCTGGCCACAGACCCCCTCAGGTCTCATCTCTCTTTTCTTTTGCAGGGGAGTTACTTTAAAGACTTGTCCAAAGCCCACACAGCCCATGAGGGGGCTCTGAATGGGATGACATTTTACATGGGGCTGCAGGCCGAAGATGGGCACTGGGCGGGTGATTATGGCGGCCCACTCTTCCTTCTGCCAGGTAGGAGGGTGCTGCCCCGGGCCCGTGGGCGAGGCGACCCTGGGGCATCATTGGGGTACTGGCCTGACCTGGTTCAAGCCCTTGGTGTATGTCTGTGGTGTGAATGCGCAAGCAGCTTTGCACCCAGGAGCTCACGTGGAAAAGGGCTCGGGGGAGGGGTTACCCTGCACCTTAGTTATCCTGGTGTTGGTGCTGGGAGAGGGGGGTGAAGGCACAGCCAGCCCAGTGTTGTGACAAGGGAAGCAAGGGCGCTCTGGGGGTAGGGGAGGGGTGGCTCTTGCGTCCCAGGCACGCCAGGCGGAGGGCTGAGCCTGTGCGAAGGTGCTGGTGGCAGGCAGGGTGGTCAGTGGGTATCTTTAAGCTCTCTGTGGGCTGCTTTGGCTTGTGAACGCACCTTGAAGGAGCTCAGCCAGGTGAGCTACAGGTTCGGGTTGGTGAGTGCCAGGAACATTGCTGCTGGGCCCTCCCGGCACAGAATTAGTTTGGCTAGACAAGACTATTGCACCCTAAAAAAACAAAAACAGAAAACTATTACATCCTGCAAATGTTTCTCTAAAGAAACACTTAGTCTTTTGGCATGGACTTGCCCTTGGGAGCAAGTCAAGGGTTCTGTCTTCTCTTCGGCCCACCTGGAGCCTGTGGAGACTCTTCCCCTGGTCTGCTTTGACCCTGGGCAAGGCGACAGGACTTCAGATGCCTCGGCCACCTCACCTGTGACATGGAGAGGATGGGAATCTGGTTTGAACATATGTGCACATATGTGCATCACTGTGGTGAGCACTGGTTTCGGGGTCCAGAGGAGCAGCCTTCCCAGGCTTGTTTCTGTGCCAAGGAGAACCTTGGGAATAGCTCCCTGTCGGGAGGGGTCCTCAGGAGGAAAGGGGCTGGGATTCGCAGTGCCGAGTGCCTGCTCCCAGGGGCAGACATCTTTTCTGTCCCACAGGCCTCCTGATCACATGCCACGCGGCGCGCATCCCTCTGCCAGCTGGATACAAAGAAGAGATGGTGCGGTACCTGCGGTCGGTGCAGCTCCCGGACGGCGGCTGGGGCCTGTGAGTCTGCTCGGCCCTGTCACTGCCCATGTGTACATACGTGTGCACAGATGTTCTTGTGTAGGACATGCACCTGTCGAGGGGCGGGGTGACTGTAACTGGACCTGGCATGGGTGGGGGAGTGGTCAGTGTCCCAGCTTGTGTTATAAATTGGTTGCATGACTCGCTTAGAGACCTGAGACCCTCACCTGCAGTGAAAACCATCTGGCTGTTATCACGAAGGCAGAAGGAAATTGTCTGCAGCTGGGGCTGGCCAGCTCTCCCTCGTCTCAGCCTGCCTTTCTGTGGCAGGGCTTGCTCTGGGAACAGGACCCTCCCCCAAGGTGGCCACCTGCCTGCCCACCCTGGTTGTGGGCTCTGGTGGGCCAAATCCACACCACTGGCCTCCATTACAGAACCCTAGGGGAACAGCTCAGCCTTTCTCAACAGGGCTGTGAGCCCCAGCTCTGGCCTGTGGGTCCCAGCACGTCATGACAGATGCTGAGGTGTCACCAGTGCCGTATGACTGCACAGGGTGGCAGCGTGCCCTTACACGTTGCCCTGCACTGTGTTCTGTGTGCCATGGTGCTGAGTGGGGCTTAGATGGATTATGTTGATTGAGGTGTGGGAAGTAAGCAGAGGAGGCAGGCAGGTTCTGCAGGGCCGGTTTTGGTTGTCATGCGAGGTGGCTGTTCTGGGTGTTTCTTGTGTTGTCCTGTTGTCAGTGTAGGATGTGTTCCATTCCTGTGCCTGGAACCTGTGCTGCTGGGGTGGCTCCAACTTGGGTAAGAGTGTCGCTGACAGCCAGGTTGGAGCCCCGCCCTGCCTGCTAGGTGGGCACACATATGTCAGGGGCAGCCATAAGTGGCCCTAAGAGAAGGCCGAGCATGTGTGCTCACTGCCCCTCATCGCCTCCTGAGGACATTGAACTGAAAGCATTGCCTAATTTCTTAGAAATAATAAAAGATGTCCTTTTCCCACCCTGTCTCCCGCTCCTATAGGCACGTTGAGGACAAGTCCACGGTGTTTGGGACTGCGCTCAACTATGTGTCCCTGAGAATCCTGGGTGTTGGGCCTGACGATCCTGACCTGGTGCGAGCACGGAACCTTCTTCACAAGAAAGGTATGCCCTGCACAGCACATGCTGAGGGTCCGGGCTACTTTGCTTAATGAGTTCTTGCAAATGAGAGATAGAAAGATGCTCCTTCACCTGAAACAGTGGGCGAAACACGTGAACAGGGAATTCATCAAAGCAGAGAAGTAGAAACGGTGTCACCTTACCAGTAGTTTTTGAAAAAGCAAATTAAGATAACCATATACCCTCCTGTTTGCTGGGTGGGCTCTAGCAGCTAGCACCTCTCCCCCTGCCTGTGTGCTCTGAAGGCTGTTCATTGCAGCCCTGGGGAGGCTCCATGGCTCCCGCTGACCGGAGTCCTTTCTTGCTGCTCTCCAGAGCCTGGCAGGCCTCACCACCTGTCTCTCGTGGCCACTCCTCCGTCCACCTGTCCTCCTGCTCCGGTGCTCACACACAGGGGCTCCTGTCAGCTCCTGGAAGTCCTTTCGCACCTCAGGGCTCTGCATGCTGCTTCCTCTGCCTGGGATCCTGCGTTCCACCCCACCCCACTGCTGTGGGAGTTCCTCCTCATCCTTCACCTGGCACCTGGGATGTCCCTCCTCTGGGAGCCATTCCTAACCTGTGTGCATTCTAATGCAATCCCACAGTCTTCTCAGGTGTCGCGCTTGCAGTGACTTCCTCATTAGCTTCTGGTCTCACCAGCTGCTTTCAGGCTCCTTGCCTAGGGAGGGAATGTGTTTGGGCCACACTTGCTTCCCTGGTGGCTCCTGGGTTTTTTACTTCTGAACTCGTGAGTCTGGGCGAGGCCTCCTTGTGAAGCACAGCCAGGATGGTGTTTCTGTGCCTGGGACCTGTGCTGCTGGCGTGGCTCCAACTTGGGCCAGAGTGTCACTGACAGCCAGGTCGGAGCCCTGCCCTGCCCGCTGAGTGGGGACACACGTGAGGGTCAGCCATAGTGGCCCTCAGAGAAGGCCGAGCATGCGCGCTCACTGCCCCTCATCGCCTCCAGGCCCATGTGATACAGGCTGCTGCGTGCATCTGGGCCCCTCACCTTCCCAGGTAGCTGCCTGTGTGTCTCCTTCCTGAAGGTAGGGCTGTGAATGCCTCTCCTGGGGCTGCACACACTCATGTTGGGGAAGCTGCTGACCGACCCCGTGGCTGTTGTGTGGGGTTTGGAAGCCTTTGCCCTCAATTCAGACAAGAAGGGCACGCGTGACTCCCGAGGGTCCAGTTGGAGGGAGATAACATGGGCCTGTTCTCTCTCCAGGTGGAGCTGTGGCCATCCCCTCCTGGGGGAAATTCTGGCTGGCTGTCCTGAACGTTTACAGCTGGGAAGGCCTCAACACCCTGTTCCCGGAGATGTGGTAGGCTCGCCTCTGCGGGGTCGTGGCAGCCCGGTCCCTGCTGCCCTACTGAATGGAATGACAGGGCCCTCGGTTCCTGCCTGAAGGATATTGGAAGGAAGGAGGGGGGTGCCCTGGGTTGGGCCATGTGGTGGGTGGGTCACCCTGCTGGGCTGTTACAGGGCCCCTGGAGCATTGTCAGCAGGTGTGGTCCCTCAGGGAGCATCGGGGAGGTTGGGGGCGGGGGGCTTGTGTTAGATGACTTTGGTGGAGGAAGGGCGCATGGTGAAGGGGCCACTGGGGAGTGACAGCGGGGTCCTGCTGGAAGGGCGGAGGGCCCGGCCTCCACAGCCATGAGGTGGGGTGGTGGTGGCAGAGGGGCAGCAAGGTGAAGTGGGCGGAGGGGCTCTGTTACTCAAGGTTAGCCAGTCTGGAAGGGGATGGCGCGTGTCTTGGGGCCATTACAGCATTCCTCACTGGCGGCTTGCCAATTGGACGTGAACCTCACCGGTGTGTAAGGCGTAGGCGAGGAAAGGCAGCCGGTGCCAGGAGCCTGAGGCTGCTGTCAGGGAACTGTGTTGTCCGTGCCCGCCATGAGGTGGCGCCCCTGCGGTCACTGCTGGTCTTTGCTAGAGTGTTTGGAGGGGTGTGGCTTAGAGAGTAAAGGGTAGGTATCCAGGATGGAGGACCTGAACCCAAAAGGTAAAAAGAAAAGCACACCCTTTAAAGTGAGTGGAGGAGCTCTTAAGAGAGTGAGGGAACTGGCTTCAGGCTGGGGATCACATGCCCGACTCTCATGACTGGGAACAGGGAGGATACACGCAGCCCTGTGCCTCCCTGAGCCCCCAATATGAGGACGAGGGCTTGAAGGGGAGGGTAGAGAAAATACCCCCGGTACTCACCCACCCGGGAAGGTGCCCTGGCTATGCTGATGTCAGAAAACACATGTGTGGAGGTCATGATCAAAGGCTCAGGCCTAACCGTTTTAAGTAAACTTTGCATTTTGGAATAGTTTTCAATTTCCAGAAAAGTTGCAAAGGTAATCCAGACCTGTCCCAGAGACCCCTCACCCGTTTCTCACTATTAACGTTCCATGTTACCATGGTTTGTCTGCCACTACTGAGAAACCACAGATAGTCCTGAACCTTAGGACCGCGGTCTCCTGGCTTTAGGATGCATTTGGCTGAACCAGAAGTGGCCTGCACCCTGGGGCACCCAGGGAGGGGGTTTGACCGCTTCCCTTGAGAGCATGGTTGTGCTCGGCCACTCTGAGTCCATGTTTGGGAGGCCTGGGGCTGTGGTGGTGCTGATGGCGGGGCTGGGGCTCCTGCTTATCCACTGTCCCCCCCAGGCTGTTTCCTGACTGGATGCCGGCACACCCCTCCACACTCTGGTGCCACTGCCGTCAGGTCTACCTGCCCATGAGCTACTGCTATGCCACCCGGCTGAACGCTGAGGAGGACCCGCTGGTCCAGAGCCTGCGCCAGGTGAGGAGGACCTGGGCCTGGGTCATCCTCAAGGTCGGCTGTGCTCGCCTGGTCCCATGGGCCTGCAGTGCTGAGCCCCCTGAGGTTAGGGCAGGGGTGGGCAACCTTCTTGTGAGTGCGTGCCAAAACCAGCAAAATCTCTGACTCAAAATTCTTCTGCGTGCCAACCCTAATTTTTTGAGAACATGTTACGCCTACTTGATATCTCTTAAGGTGTACGTATGTGAAGAACCATGAAGAAATAATAAAATTCATTCGAGCGACAAAAACACAGTATATGATGATGAAAAATACATTTATTTTTAATGTATACATGTTATGTAAAATTATTTATTTATCTAAGATGCACCTACACTGAATTTATCTGAAAAATAAGTCGATATTAAGAAAAAAATTGTAAATGGAAGATTGATTATAAGAGAGGATTTCGTGGGCCAGCAAAAGTTACTGGCGTGCCATGTTTGGCATGCGTGCCAGAGGTTGCCCACCCCTGGGTTAGGGTGAGGCCTCCCTCTCCTATCCCCTTAGGAACTGCCCAGAGGGGCTCTTGTGGTGGGATGGGGCGCAGGCACCTGTCCCTGGGAAGCAGGCCCTGAGGTGGGTTGGGGTGCGGGGTGTGGATCAGGGCGTGCCCTCGGGGGGCAGAGGGAGAAGACAGCTATAGGCAGTGGGTGCTGAGGTGCTGTCGCCCCCAGGAGCTCTATGTGGAGGACTATGCCAGCATCAACTGGCCGGCGCAGAGGAACAACGTGGCCCCTGACGATCTCTACACGCCGCACAGCTGGCTGCTCCGTGTAATGTATGGTGGGTGCTTCCCTGGGGCTGGCTGGGCCTCCCTGGGGTCAGCTGACACCTGAGGTGGCGATGAGTTTACTCTCTCATCGTCATGTGGGTCATGTGGTGAGGAGCCGGCTGTGTGCGCCTCATGTCCAGCAGACCTGCCCTGCCCTTGGAGTGATCCTGGGGCTTGGGCCCCTAGATGAGAGAACTGGGAGCTGAGGGCCTTGGAGGGCGCAGTCATTCCTCCCTGGGGGAGAGATGCAGTCCAGGCTCACCTCCCTGTGGGACCCCCAGGAGACCAGCACTGCATGCGGTGTGCGGGGCCCTGGGTGGTCGCTGGGTCCCTGTCCCGTCAATGCTGAGAAACAACTGGGTTTCTACTCACGGAGCCCTCCTAACATGGCAGGGCAGCATGCCAATGTGAGGGGGCAGGCAGGGTGTGGGGTGTGAGGGGCATGGGGGGACAGCAGAAAGGAAGGCTGGAATGGCCCAAGTGGCCCTGTGCCTGGCTGGGCTGAGGCCAGGAGCTCCTCTGTGCCCTGTGCTTGCTGATGCCCTTGCCCCCACAGTAATCCTCAACCTGTACGAACGCCACCACAGCGCCAGCCTGCGGCAGCGGGCCGTCCGGAAGCTGTATGAGCACATTGTGGCCGATGACCGCTTCACCAAGTGCATCAGCATTGGCCCGGTCAGTGCCACTAATCTGCTGGGTGTCAGCCTTGAGTGGGGGAAGGCTCAGAGACCGGTCTCTGGGATTGGGAGTAGGGGTCTCCCTGCAGGCGACCCTCTGCTCCAACAGGACCCCATTTAGTCCCCACCTGTGTGCTTGGCCCTCCTCCCACCCCCACCACCTAGTGCAGTGGTTCTCAACCTTCTGGCCCTTTAAATACAGTTCCTCATGTTGTGACCCAACCATAAAATTACTGTCGTTGCTACGTCATAACTGTAATGTTGCTACTGTTATGAATCGTAAATAATCTGATATGCAGGATGGTCTTAGGCGACCCCTGTGAAAGGGTCGTTCGACCGCCAAAGGGGTCGCGACCCACAGGTTGAGAACCGCTGACCTAGTGTGTCTGAACACTGCTCTTTGAGGCCACTTTCTCAGGATCTTTCTGGCCAACCCACTCCTAATAACTCCTATCTGCCCTTCTCTTATGGGGGTGAGAGCAGCAGGGGTGCGTGGGTTCCATTCCTGGATCCTGCCGAGCCCTGTGACGTGGAACTCTCATTGCTCTGAGGTTCTGAGCTTCTGACCTGGCTTTGCCTTGTGGGGCCAGGTGTGGACACACCTGTGGGACCCTGTGGCCAGGCGCACAGCGGCCAGTGCAGGGTCGGGGAGGCCGGCTCGAGGCCATGGGCGACGGGTGCAGGAGGCAGAGCAGTTCTGAGCCCCTGGCAGGGCATGACTGGGGCTTCGTGAGGTACACCCAGTCGGTGCAGTGCCACCCAGCCCCACTCCCGTCCCTGCTCCCAGGCACTTTCTGGGCCTCCTGGAACCCCAGTGGATCGAAAATGATGATGCCCCACAGCGCAGTCAGTTGTGTTCCTTTTATTATTATTATTATTATTATTTTTTGGTGCCCTTGACTGGAATCGAACCTGGGACCCTTCAGTCCACAGGCTGATGCTCTATACACTGAGCCAAACCAGTCAGGGCAGTTGTGTTCCTTTTAGCAGCACTGTGACTCTCAGCTTTGATTTAATGTGCGTAAAGCACGTTTGACAAGTTAGATGTAGGCCTTAGTTGGATCTTGCCTTAGGAGATCCCAGAGTGGAAGGTCTGGGCCTCTAGAACATGCCATTCTGAGCAGGCAGGTCTGGCCTGCATCTCCCCTGTGCCCCTCTGTCCCCAGGAGCCCACTCGGGCACCCTGCTCGCTTGCCAGTTTGCTGGGCTCACACCTCTTACAGGTCTCCCTCCCTCCTCTGCGCATACTCTGCCCCTTCCCACTTCCCTCGGAGACCAGGTTTCCTGGACACCACGGGGGCTCTGTCTCTCAGGCCTGGAAGCAGCGTGTGCTTGGGAAATGTGGGGTAGACCAGAAGGCCCGGCCTGGCCTGTGGGGGCTGTGCTGGGCCCTTGGTGGGGTTGGGCGACCTCCTCATGCCCAGCAGGTATGAAGCAGAGCCCTGACAGGCCCATCTCCTGCAGATCTCAAAAACCATCAACATGCTCGTGCGCTGGCGCGTGGACGGGCCGGCCTCCTACGCTTTCCAGGAGCACGTCTCCAGGATCCCCGACTACCTCTGGTGAGTGTGGCGGGAAGGGCCCAATTGGTGTCACACTTTGTCTCTGACTGGCGTAGCTGAGAGCCCAGAGAAGATGTTTGTGGACCCCACAGCTGCAGCGGCAGGCGTGTGACTCTCTACCTTCATGTCCCAGCGAGGGTGCCGTGGCGTCTGGTGTGACACTGGAACCAGTAGTTTCAGGGTCGATGGAAGCTGAGGAGGGTTGTGTTTGAGTGGAAAGGTCCACCCCTTAGTGCAAACTGGGTGCTTCTAGGAGGCAGAACCAGGAAGCCTGTGAGCGGACAGGGCAGCTTCAGGCGAATGTCAGGAAGGCTTTGGTGATAAGGAGAGCTGGTCAGTTATGGGTTGTGCCTTGGAGGGAGCTCCTGCTGCCCCCTCACCCGGCTGGGGAGAGGAGGCTGTCCTGAGCCTCCTGCCCATGCGGGCTCTGGGCACCGCCTGACTCCCAGCTCTTTGTGCTCTGCTCCCTGACCTGGCTTTTCTCTTCACAGGCTGGGCCTCGATGGCATGAAGATGCAGGTGAGAGCTGCTGGGCCGGCTGCTGGCTTCCTTTGCAACCATTCCTGCCTGTGGGTTTGAGATTTACAAATCACTCCTAACAAGGCCTGGCAGTGTGATGAGCAGCTGCAGGCCCTCCATCCTGTCTCGGAGGGTTCATGGCGCGCCTCCAGGGCTGGGAAGTGTGCAGGAGAGCCCGGAGCCCTCGGATTGTGGGAGCGCTGAGGGTCAGAGTCCTCCAGGGTCGTGGGAGCACAGGGGGTCTGCAGCCACCATGCGGGAGCGTCTGTGAGCCAGAGTAGTTCAGGACTGCAGGCCAGGAGCGGACAGTGACCTCAGAGCCCACACAGTGGCCTGACTAATGAACTGCAGGCCTCAGGTAGGAAGCGAGCCCTGCCCCCAGCCTAGCACCTGCAGAGCTGCTCCCGCCCTCAGGGTTTATGGCTTCGTCCCTCAGCCCTGAGATGCACTCCCCTGTGCCTTTTGGTGCAGGTGTCCCATCGATTTGTGCGGTTTGGATGTGTAGGTGATCTGACACCATCACCCCACCTCCCAGCCCCCCAGCATATTTCCTGTTTGTGACCCTGGGGTGGGATGCCACAGTGCAGGGCTTCCTGGGCTGACCTCCTCCAGCTACAGGGGCCCTGCAAACAGCAAGCCTTGGAGCTGTTGGGCCACCCTGAGGGGTTTTATCTGCTGAACCCGTAGGGCTCAGTGTGGGAATGCAGAGGTTCCAGCAGGGGCCTTGGGGTGCACAGGTCACTGGGCCTTTGGGACGGGCCCCAGGCCAGCGCTCCCAGCGTAGAGCTCACCTCGGTGCCCTCCAGGCAGGCCCTGAGCCCCTCTCCCAGCGCCTGACTCCCACACCGCCAATCTCTTGTAAAAGGATTTTCAAAACATGCCAACTGCCCTTTCACGTCCCAGCGCTCGAGGGCTTCTTTGTCTTTAGGAAACGTCTATGCCACCGCGGAGTCAGGGATGCCTTAGTGTGGTTTGTGCTGGGCTTGTGGGCATCCGGATTAGAGCCCAGTGGCTGATGCTCTCTGCTAGCCATCTCCCAAGTGCCTTCTTTCCTGGCCACCTGCCTCTACAGCAGTGGTTCTCAACCTTCTGGCCCTTTAAATACAGTTCCCCATGTTGTGACCCAACCATAAAATTACTTTCGTTGCTACTTCATAACTGTAATGTTGCTACTGTTATGAATCGTCATGTAAATATCTGATATGCAGGATGGTCTTAGGCGACCCCTGTGAAAGGGTCGTTTGACCGCCAAAGGGGTCGCGACCCACAGGTTGAGAACCGCTGCTCTAAAGGGTCCACTTTCTGGATCCGACCGGTTTCTTCCTCTGGGCCCTGTATTTTCAGCAAATCAGCGGTTAGGCCCCGAGGGTTGATGTCCTTCGGGTTTCTTTTGGCCAGGCAGTTTTCCTGGTGGTGCGAGTTCTTCCCACACATCCCACTGGGCCCCGATCCTGCTGTCCTGTTAGCGCCACAGGTGGTCTGGGCTCAGGTGTTTCCACTCCCATCCCAGTTATCCACCTGCCTGTCACAGTCCTGCTCGGCCTCACTGGGGTTTGGTCATCGGTGCTCCGGTGGGATCTCAGTGTTGACCAGTGAACCAGGCTCCCAGGTTGGATTTGAGGGGGCCTTCCTAGCCCCTTCGAGTCCTCAGCCAGGCCTTACCACCTCAGAAGTGGGGGTGTTTCTGGTCATCACAGTAGGGCCAGAGGCTGTCATAGGGTGGATAGAGGCCACAGGCAGTGGAGACCACAGGGGTTGGCTGTCAGAACCCTGAAGTACCCTGATACAGTCCTTTCCGGGCTGGCGGCCCGATGAAGGCAGTTGGGGCTGCCTGCAGGACCAGCTCCCACAAGCCATCATGGGCTTTGAAGGGTGCACATAGGCCAGAGCCAGCTGTCAGGAAACGCTGGCTCCTGCCTCTTCGCGGGAGCTGGTGGGAGCCTCCGGCACTGACAGATTCCGAGAGGCAGTGGGCGGCTGGGAGGACGCTGCCTGGCTGCTGCAATGGTTCACTCTTTGTGTGCAGGGCACCAATGGCTCGCAGGTCTGGGACACCTCGTTCGCCATCCAGGCATTCCTGGAGGTACGTGGCTGTTTTCTTGTTCCTCGGCCTCCAGCTGATCTTCCTGTGCACCTACCCCTGTGCCCAGGACACAACACCTGCTGACGCTGACTCTTCGCTCTCCTGGGCTCCAAGGCCTTGGCGATGGATCGGCTGAAGCTGGGTCTTGCCTGGGCGGTGGGCTGGCTCGGAGGCTTCTGGAACAGGGAGGCTGGAGGGGCTGCCCCGGAGACATGGCAGTGGGGACTGCTCCAGGCTCTTGTTAAACCCAAACTGCTCCTCCTGGACACTTTGAAAAGAGCCACTGAGCATGTATTAGAGAGAAGCGGGAGCGTGTTTTTATTCTGGTGGAATGAGGTCATGGAATCCTGGGGAGCCCTGAGGAGGGGTCAGGGCTATGTGGGGCCGGGCTAGCGAATGTGAGGTTTGCCATGGACAGGTCAGGACCCTGTGAGTGTGGGTGAGCGGGTGTGGTGTGGACATCCCTCCTGCCCACACCATTTTTCCATCACGTCTTTCTGCCTTATCGGCAGACACCTAAGACCCCGGGTGGGTTTGTTCCTGGTTCCCAGTGGTGGCAGCTGTCCAGAGACCAGCCTACCCCACAGGCTCCTGTGGCCAGCGGCTCAGCTTCTTCTCTCTTCCAGGCAGGCGCACACCACAGGCCCGAGTTTTCCTCCTGCCTGCAGAAGGCGCACGAGTTCCTGCGGATCTCACAGGTGAACCCTGGGGGGTGTGAGGGACTTTCCATAGGCAGAGGTTTCCCCTCCCACCCTGCCCTCTCCAGGTCAAGGGGTGCCTGATTGTGTTTCCCAGCAGTGGGTAGGGCTCTGGGCGGTGGGCCGTGGGGGTGATGCCCCGAGGACCGCAGCACCAGACTCCCCATGTCCTGCTGTGCCAGCCCCGCCGCGGTGTCTGGTGTGGTGGTGACATGTTCCCTCCTGTGCTTTCCACGCATGCCCTTCGTACACTTCCCAGGTCCCAGAGAACCCGCCCGATTACCAGAAGTACTACCGCCAGATGAACAAGGTACCTGCGTCGTGCCTGCTGCCCCAGGCCCTGGGAGAGGCTGCCTGTTAGCTGGGTTGGGCCTTTTAGGAGGGCTCCTCCCTCGGTGTCCTGGGGCTTCTTGCTCTTACGGATGCATGTGTGGGTTCCAGCGATGCTCCTGAGACACCCCGACTGAGGTGCATGGCTGAGGCAGCTGAGCCATGTGGCCTCTTCACATGCTATGTGCACGTCCGTGCCCGAGATGCTTCCAGACAGACACACGTCCAGACATGAAATAAACTGTTGGGCTGTGAATTAGAGTGATGTGGGGAGGAGAGAGGGCAGAAAGGGCCGTTTTCTCGTGTGTGTGTGAGAGTGGACAGCTGTGGCTGTGTCCCTCTGGGGGTCAGGAGGGTGCCTGTGGTCCTTTCTTGTGCCCAACGTGCGGTGGGGTGTGAGGGCGACGCTGGGGAGAGGCTATAGTCCGTGGGGTTCTTGTGCTAGAAGCTGGAGGCCCATACACGTGTGTGTGGCTTGGGGCTGTGGCTCCCCACGGGTGTGGAGGGTGCAGTGGCTTTGGGTGATCCACCCCCCAGTCACAGTCTCTGCTCTCCAGGGCGGCTTCCCCTTCAGTACTCTGGATTGTGGCTGGATCGTCGCCGACTGCACAGCTGAGGCCTTGAAGTCTATCCTCCTCACGCAGGAAAAGTGTCCTTTTGTCACCACGCACGTCCCGCGAGAGCGGCTCTTCGATGCTGTTGCTGTGGTGAGGCTGCTGGGCACGGGGCTCTGTTCCCCAGGTGCTGGGGGCGCCGTGCACGCAGGGGTCCCTCGGGTCCCATTAGTGTTGCAGAGGAGCTGTGCACGCACGTGTACTTCCCACAGGGTCTGTACCAGCCAACACTCAGGGCCAAGACCGTGAGCCAGAGGGGCATGTCCTCTGATGGCACCTGTGCTGGGCCAGCAGGAGGTCCTGGCTGGGTGTGTGCGGAGCCCTGCGCTTCCCAGTGGGTGTACGAGCCTTGGGCTGGTCTGGGGTGGCTGCTGCGGCCCTGTTTTCTCTCTAGTTCTGGAGGCTCCTTCGGGAGGGCTGGCGGTCTCCACTGGGTATCTGGTAAAAGAGGACACGCCATTCAGCACATCCATTTCAGTGCGTGTCGTACAGCGAAGGGCACGTGGTTCCACAGCACATACATGACTTATAAATGCATGAGTGTGTCAGGGTGTGTTCCCAGACAGTTACTTATGGTGTAGCTGGTCAAGAAAGGTTGCAGCCCATGCTCAGGGCACCTGAGAGTCTTGGTCTGATGTGAAAACTAGCTCCCTGCTGCTCACCCCTGCCGTCAGCGCTTAGCCCTGAGTGCTTCCGAAAGCCCACCCACCTAGCCTCGGCTGCTCGCACATGCTCAGCGCTCACGATATGTGGTCTCTGGTTTTAGTTGCTGAGCATGAGAAACCCTGATGGGGGGTTTGCCACCTACGAGACCAAGCGTGGAGGGTACCTGCTGGAGCTGCTTAACCCCTCGGAGGTCTTTGGTGAGTGGCTGGCCCGCGGGCATTTGGGCACAACCCGGGCCCTGCCTGCCCCAAGGCAGATTCTCTGACCAGAGTCCTGAGGTCTTCCCCCCGGCCAGGGGCAGTGCCCACAAAGGCTCTGGAGCAGCGGTTCTCAACCTGTGGGTCGCGACCCCTTTGAGGGTCTAACGACCCTTTCACAGGGGTCGCCTAAGACCATCGGAAAACACATATATAATTACATATTGTTTTTGTGATTAATCACTATGCTTTAATTATGTTCAATTTATAACAATGAAATTGGGGGTCACCACAACATGAGGAACTGTATTAAAGGGTCGCGGCATTAGCAAGGTTGAGAACCACTGTTCTGGAGGATGATGGCGGATCCTTTAAGGAACCCCCCAATCACCGGAGCGTTCCATGCTCCCCGACCTCCACAGTTGGCTGTGTTGCCCTTGCAGTAAATGGAAAGCTGTGGTTCTGTCGCAGAGTCACAGCCGGCTCTGGCCCGAGCTGGGCCGACTCCTGCTCTGTCCTCCTTGGAGACTCCCTGCCTCCTGATGCTCCTGCAGGGGAGGTGTGGTGGGTACCCTCTCTCCCTGTTCCTCGTGTTGAGTGTCATCGTTCTGGTCTGTGAGGGCCAGTTCTTTACCCTGACCCGCCTTTGTGCCTCTGTACCCCTCCTATAACTGAAACATGGTCCAGTGGAGGGTTTTCAGGGTGGGTATAGCTCTACTGTGTGCTCCCTCCTCCACCTTCCGCTGGCCTGGTTGTCCCACAGCAGATGGGCCTCTAGGTCACTCGGTCACCAGGTCACCAGGTCACTTGTGTAGGTGCCACCTGGTGGCTGTGTCCCTGGGCTGGTCGCTGGTGACACCTTCCTCGCTTCCTCCAGGAGACGGTCAGGCTCTTGATGAGCCTTGCAGGCCCCGCACGTTACAGTGCGTGTTCTTCACGATTTGGCCTGAATCGCCGAGGTGAAGCTCACAGGCCTGGATCCTTCCCTTTCACAGGGGACATCATGATCGACTACTTGTATGTGGAATGCACCTCGGCCGTGATGCAGGCGCTGAAGCATTTCCACAAGCAGTTTCCGGAGCACAGGCCAGGGGAGATCAGGTAAGGGCCCGCCGCTCAGCCACAGGTGCCCCCAGCTGGGTCAGGAGCTCAGGCGCTGCCAATAGACATTGAGGGCTGTTGTCCTCTAAGGAGGCCCATCATATAAAGGGGCCCTGGAGTGGAGCTCATTTAGATATGAGAGGGGTTTACGCCTGGTTGTATGCCCTGAAATGCATCAGACACATGTACTTGGGGCTCCAAGGAGCACAGTTATAACAGAAGCGAGTTATTTTTCACATCTTAATAATGTTACGGATCCATACCCCCAGCTCCACCTGTGTCCACATGTAGTTTTATTTATTTATTATTTAAAAAATATATTTTTATTGATTTCAGAGAGGAAGGGAGAGGGAGAGAGAGGTAGAAACATCAATGATGAGAGACAATCATCTATCCAGTGGTTGGCAAACTGTGGCTCGCGAGCCACATGCGGCTCTTTGGCCCCTTGAGTGTGGCTCTTCCTAAGCCTTAAGAGTACCCTAATTAAGTTAATAACAATGTACCTACCTATATAGTTTAAGTTTAAAAAATTTGGCTCGCAAAGGGAATTTCAATCGTTGTACTGTTGATATTTGGCTCTGTTGACTAATGAGTTTGCTGACCACTGATCTATCCGCTGCCTCCTGCATGCCCCACACTGGGGAATTGAGCCCATAACCCAAGCATGTGCCTTGACCAGGAATCGAACCATGACCTGGTTCATAGGCCAATGCTCAACCACTGAGTAACACTGGCTGGGCTGACATGTAATTTTTAAACCTTGTTGAAGTCTGACACGGGCAGAGCAGCATGCAGACCCTCTGTGTGGTGCCTGAGGAACTGTCGTGAAGTGGAAAGAACGTGTGGCCACATGGGCACACACATTGCCAGAAGCTCCCTCCCCTCCTGGTTCTGTGGCTGCTGGGTTCCTGCACCCGAGGACCCAAGGTGGGGACTCCCGGACCTGGCTTCCTTCCCTCTGTCTCCTGCTCGGGAGACGAGACCTGCGGAGCAGCCGTTCACACTGTTCTTGGCCATCGGCACGCGTGCTGAGTGCAGGTGCCACACTGTCCCCATGCTTGTCATGGGCCCACGGGGCTGCTCGTGGTTATTAATCATCCTGCTGTGAACACGTGTTTATCTTTTGGGCACAGAGGATGTTCAGGAGTGACGTGCTGTGTCACAGGAACATGCTGCTGGTTCCTGAGTGGGACGATTCCCTGTCGTGTGTTTCACGGTGAACCTGGTGGAAGCTCAGCTTGGTCCTATGCTTTCCTTTTTATATGTTGGGTTAAATTTGAGCTGTTTTGTTTAGGATTTTTACAACTGTGGTTGTAAGAGAAACTGGTCTGTAATTTTCCTTATTATAATGTCTCTGTCAGGGTCTCCTGTGAAGCGATGCTGGACAGTATATTTTCTTTTCATGTTCTCGGGAAGAATTTGTGAGATTTCTGCTTTTTTGTCCTTATGTTTGGAAACTCCATCTGGGCCTGGAGTTTTCTTTGTGGAAAGTAGTAATAGTGACATCTTTGTTGTATTTCCTGATTTTTTAAAGGGGACTGCTTCTAATATTTCTCCATTAAGAAGGATATTTGTGGTAGGTTTTTGGTAGTTAACCTCTTTTCTGGGTAACAAAGTTCTTTTTTCTAATTTGTTGTTTCTTTCCCTCTGTTGTGAGCAGGTATTGTGTTTAGCAAGTGATTTTTCAATGTCTATGAGATAATGATGTATTTATCTCCTAATGTCCTGGGTGACTCTTGTAGACTTTTCTAATGTTAAAACACCTTTGCATTTCTGGAATGAGCCTGACTTAGTATATCTCTACCATGTTCAGTTCCCAATATTTAGTGAGAATCTTGCATCCATATCCGTGGATGCCGAGCTGTGTCATAGCTCAGCCCGGGAGGCACGAGCCTCGCCTTCCCTATCTGGCCGTGAAAAGCTAATGCTGGGTCCCTACAATGAATTAGGGAGTGTTTCTCCTCTTCCTAGTCCATGGAAGAGTTTGTGTGAGATTAGAATGCTTGTTCGTGATAATTTAGTAGAATTCACTTATAAAACTTCTAGGCCTGGGGTTCTTTTTCTGGGAAAAGTTCACATTTTTGACTCATGTCTTTAGTAGTTATAGGACTATTCAGGATCTCTGTTTCTTCTTGGGGCCATTTTTGATAAGTTAATTTTCCTGATAATGTATATATTTTGTTTAAATTTCAAATGTGTTGTCTCAACTTTTCTCATTTTATCTTAACTTTGATTTCCATTATACCTATAGTCATACTACTCTTTTATTACTGATATAATTTATTTGTACCTTCACCTCTGTATTTGTTTTCTATTACTGAGTAAGAATACTACTACAGAATTGGCTTCAAACAATGTGCAGGGATCACCTCCCAGCTCCTGGGTCAGGAGTTCAGGCTTAGCTGGGCCCTGTCACCAGCTGACCGCTGTCTCCTCTGAGCATTGACTGAGGAAGATCTTCTCTGAGCTCGTGTGGTTGCGGGCAGGTGTCCAGTCCTGTGCAGTGTCAGCCTCAAGGCCTGTTTGCTTGCTGACTGTTGGCTGGAGGCCACCTTTCATTTCTGGCCCCGGGGGTCTCTGTGCGGCTTTGTGAGAGCCAGCAGGGGGAGAGAATCGAGAGAGAGGGACTCTGCTGGCCAGAGGAAGGCCAGCGTGTCACGCGATGCGGTCAGAGGAGTGATGTCCCATCAGCTCTGCAGGAGCTGACGGATGACATGGGGTGAGCCCCGAAGGCAAGGGTCACGGCACCTCGGGCTGTGCTTGTACCCCCTCTCTGGCCTTTCCAGAGAACTGGTCTCTTTATCTGAAGTACCAGTTAGACTTGCGATGGAGCTTCTCTGTCCTCTAAACCTTTTGTTTTCTCTCTGATTTTTAAATTTCTCTGTAAAATTTCATCTTGTGTGATTTACTCAAGCCCCTGTTACTGACATTGTTTTCAGGGATACTGATCCTGTTGCAGCCGCTTCTAATGTTGGTTCCTCCCTCACTGTTTGCTTCCGTCTTGCATTGCTTTTTTTAAAAATATATATTTTATTTATTTTTTACAGAGAGGAAGGGAGAAGGATAGAGGTTCCTCCCTCACTGTTTGCTTCCATCTTGCATTTCTTTAACTCCCTCCTGTGTCCTATAGTTGCTGGTATCTCCTCTCTGAGCTGTTGGTTTATTTTTACATATTTTTTAAGGGGACACCATGCTTATTTTTTTTTTGAGACTATAGACTGGATAGAACTGAGCAAATTGCTGTTTTGCTGGAATGTTCACTGGGCCGTCCTCTTGTGTTGCAGGGAGACCCTCGAGCAGGGCCTGGAGTTCTGTCGTCGGCAGCAGAGGGCTGACGGCTCCTGGGAAGGGTGAGTGAGATGTGTGGGCCCCGGACATGGCTGCACTCACGGTGCGCACGTGCTACACCAGAGGGCTCTGGCAGGAGGCTGCCTGCGACAGATTTCTGGTGGACCTTGTCCCTTGTGAATGCCGGCCCTTCCCCCTGGCGGTGTTTGGCGAGTGTATGGGGCATGCTCAGTGGCCTGTGCCTTATTTGTTGGGTCTGATTATTCACGCCCTCCCCTCTGGGTTTAGATCAGTTCTTATCTTGCTCGTGGTTCCAGTGGACGAGCTGTACCCGAGGGCTGTGGGCAGGCTTGCCTCATGGTCTAAAGCTCTGCAGCTGGTGTGGCTGGTGAAGGCCACGTGGATGTTTCTCTTGAAAGTAACCACAGCCTCCCCATGCTGGACGTGTCCGTCCCCTCACATCCGCTGAGTGAGGCCTGGGCAGCTGAACCTCCGTTTCCCGTGTCTCCCTCCAGCTCCTGGGGGGTTTGCTTTACCTACGGCACCTGGTTCGGGCTGGAAGCTTTTGCCTGCATGGGGCAGATTTACCGCGATGGGTGAGTGCGGGCATTTGCCCCCTGGTGGGATGGGGTCTTCTCAGTGTGAAGCTTTGCTGGGGAGTATCTTCCTTTGATGTTTGATTTTGGGGGTGTTTTTACATTTTTTAAAACAGTGGGAGTGGCTACAGTCCAGGATACTCTCTGGGTTGCGTTGAGGGAAGGGCGGAGGCCTCAGTCCGAGCTGTGTCCAGCGGCCTCATCCAATTCTGCTTGGCTGGGTGGGTGTTCATGGGGTGTTAGGATACACTCTGGGTTGCATTGAGGGAAGGGCAATGTCCAGCTGTGTCCAGCGGCTTTATCCAATTCTGCTTGGCTGGGTGGGTGTTCATGGGGTGGTCATGGCAATGAGGCTGCCTGCAGCTACAAAGCTTTTCACTTTATCCGTGGTGGGGTGACCTCAAGTGCAGCCCCCCTCCCCACAGCCCTAAGGAGGCCCGGCCAGGGTGAGAACCCAGGGGCCTGGGACTCCCATTGTGTGACGGTGTCTCGTGTCTGGTGTCTGCAGGACTGCCTGTGCAGAGGTCACCCAGGCCTGCGACTTCCTGCTGTCCCAGCAGATGGCGGACGGAGGCTGGGGCGAGGACTTCGAGTCCTGTGAGCAGCGGCGTTATGTGCAGAGTGCCCAGTCCCAGATCCATAACACGTGCTGGGCCCTGATGGGGCTGATGGCCGTCAGGTGGGGGCAAAGGAAGGACACTGAACTTGGGGACTCGGTCGGGATGTGGGCAGCGGAGCTCTGCGTGCAGGGATGGGAGGAGGTGAGGTTGCAGGGTTCCTTGTCCAGAGTTATAGGTCTGTCTGAATCAGTGGGTTCCTGCAAAGAGGCTCACTACCCACAGCTGTGCTCCGTGGTCCTGCCTGTTTCCACAGTAGAGCTCAGCCATGTGTGTGCACAGGCAGGTGCACACACAGAGGTGTACATGTGCAGACATGCAAACATGGGTACACAAACTCATGCACATGTAACATGCCCATGTATGCATACATGGGCATGCACAGTAGCCCAGTCTGTGCTGCCCTGTTGGTTCGGGGCCATTTGGGGAATCTTCCTAAAACCCCGTACCAGCTAGGCCAGGTTAGTATGAGCAGGGAACGGGGTCAGGGACCGGCCCCCAGTCTGCCTCCCACAGCTGAGTTTGGTCCTGAACCTGTGAGATGAGCGAGGATTAGCACTGGTGGCTTCTGTGGCTCTTAGGGGGCCTGAGCACCAATGGGCAGAGAGGCTTGGCCTCCTCCTCTCCTGGGGGTGCAGAAGAGCAGTGCCTCATGGCAGGGTCAGAGCAGCAGGTCTGGGGCAGGCGGGGCTCCTCATTGCCCATGTTCAGGCGCTGCCCACCTGGCCTGCTCGCGTCCGCACTCGCTGCATCCTCTACTTCTCGGGGTGAGCTGTGCAGCGAGGGCCTGAGGTGCACTGGTTGTCCCTAGTGGTGCCGATACCTCGTGCATGGCGGGTTAGGTTTTCACATCTTTGTCCCGTGCTGGGCTGTGGAGGGTGAGGGCCAGGTTTTGGCTGCAGCCAGTGGCTGTCTCATCCACAGAGCGGTGATGGTGTGTTCACCGCCTCTTCTTCCGCAGGCATCCTGATGTAGAGGCCCTAGAGAGAGGAGTCAGATGTCTGCTCAGAAAACAGCTCCCCAATGGTGATTGGCCCCAGGTATGCTGCGGGGGCTCTGACCTCAGTTTCCTATCCCCTCCTGGCCCTGTGTCCCTCACGGGGGGCTCATGGGCGGGGGGATTTGAGATTCAGAGACATGACTCACGAGTGGCCTGTGTTGAAAGCAGATCTAAGCACTAGCTTGGGGGGCGGGGCTGGTGATGCCAGGACACTGGATGGAGGAAGCCCTCAGGCTCTGCCTGATGGGCCCCTCACTGCCAGTCCTTGTGGACGTGGGGTCACGAGGTCATGTGAGGTTAACCCCCCTCCCTGGATGAGTCTGGTGTTGACACGCCTGTGCAGGACTGGTGACCAGGCAGGAGGGTGCTGCAGGTGGAGGGGTCCGAGAGCTGGGATGTGGGGGGAGGACTGCTGTTGGGGCTCTGCCTCACTGACTCTCCCCACAAGCTGCCCAGCCCTCCACCTGGGCTCTTGGGTCAGGGAGCCCCTTGCCTATGTGGTGGAGCCTTTGAGTTTAAGTCCCTGTGTCCTTTCAGGAAAACATCTCCGGAGTCTTCAACAAGTCCTGCGCCATCAGCTACACAAGCTACAGGAACGTCTTCCCCATCTGGGCCCTCGGCCGCTTCTCCCGCCTGTACCCCGAAAGTGCCCTCGCTGGCCACCCTTGAGAGGGGGCCTATGGGTGCCTGGCCGGTGGGTGGCGGGCACAGGCGTCCTGTGGGGATGCTGAGTGAGATTGGAGCATCTTGCCGGGACATGGGTGCCCTGTAGCCCTGCCCCTCACTCCCTCACTCCCTCACTCCCCACTTCTGGGGTGAGTCCAGGGACCAGGCCTGCCTAGGGGCATGGCTGCGGGGCTGGGAGGGCTTTCTTGACCAATAATAGTTCTCAGCAGTTGTGCCTTATCTGCCTCCTGCCCGGAGCGGGGCTCACCCCCTGGTGGTTCTTCCTGCGTCTCTTGCCTGTTGGACTGGGAGGTGAGAGTGGGGGCAGAGGGGCTGGGCCTGCCTCTTTACCATGGCCACCCAGGGCTCAGTGAGGACAGGGACCAGACATGCCAACACTGCCCCAGATCTCTGGGCTCACCCCCCGGTGGCTCTTCCTGCGTCTCTTGTCTGTTAGACTGGGAGGTGAGAGCGGCGGCAGAGGGGCTGGGCCTGCCTCTTTACCATGCCACCCAGGGCTTGGTGGGGACAGGGACCAGACATGCCAACACTGCCCCAGATCTCCTCCATGCTATATCGAGGTGCAGCCAGTTTGTGGGACCCAGCATCCCCATCTTGAGAGTTTATAGTCCTCTCGTAATGACAGAAATGCACAGGGAGGCCAAGCATAACAAAGAGTAGAGGTTGTTCGTGGCTTGTGGTTACCACCCAGGGGCATCGCTGTGTCCCAGGGACAGCTGAGCACCCAGCCTGTCAGTCTTTGCCCACGGAAGCTGGCCAGGCAGGTGTGATGCCCAAGGCACTCGAGTGGCTGCCGTGACCCTCCCACCCTAGTTTTCTCTGAGCTGAAGTGGGAGCCAGATTTCCAGGTGATGCTTCTTGGGTGGTAAACCTCTCAGTCCCCCTCTGGCTAGTCTAAACCTTTCTGGTTCGGTGTGCATGGACTTGGGGCTCAGAATGGAAAATCAGGGACCTGGGTTTGCCTTTGACTTAGCGGATGAGCGGCTCACATACTCACGGCCTCCCCGGGGGTGTAGCTGTGAGGAGTCACCAAGAGCTTTGATAAGAGTAAAACTCAGGCCTGGTGAACGCCCAGAGGCCCCACCCCAACACCACCTCCACCTGCATTTTCTCTGTGCTGCCTCCTGGACTGATGGCAGCCCCACCCTGCACTCCCCTGGCCACCTGCCCTCCCAGACAGCAGACAAATGTCTGGAAGCTCCGCTGCCCTTGTCGTTACCTGCCCAGAACATGCCAGGGCCCGAGGCTTTGCACATGTGGCCTTCCTCCTGCTGCTCTCGGCCCTGGGCCCTGTCCCGGGCTGTCCGGGCTCCCCAGCTTCTCAGTTTCAGGGAACAAGAGTAACCGCCTGAAGATAAGCAGGTGCGTCTCCAGTTCTTTCAGGGGAAAATATTTGCCTCAACCTGATTAAAAATCCAGTTCTCTATCCTGGGTAAATCATTGAAGAGCCTTGAATTCAAATTATCTTATTTTCAGTGATCAGATTTTGAATATTATGCTGGGAAATTTTCTCTGGAGTCATACTAGCTTTTCTGCATTCAGCATGATGTAAACTTTATACCCTTTCCTTTGAGGAAATGTTTAACTCGCAGTGGAAACTTACCTCTAAAAGACTACTTTTCCTTAATAACATAATCATTGTTGCTACATCAGTTTAATTGAGGCAATAAAAATATGTTTAAGAGCCCTAGTCGGTTTGACTCTGTGGTTGGAGCATGGGCCCTCGGTCTGAAGGGTCTCAGGTTTGATTGTGATCAAGGGCACATACCTCAGTTGCAGGCTCAATCCCCGGTCCCTGGTCGAGGAGCATGTGGGAGGCAACCAATCAATGTATCTCTCTCACATCTATGTTTCTGTCTCTCTGTCTCTCCCTCTCTCTTCCATGCTCTAAAAATCAATGGAAAAATATCCTTGGGTGAGGATTAACAACAACAACAAGATAGTGCACTAGGACCAGCACACTGGCTGGGTGTTGACATGATGAAGGGGCTGTGGCATCGAGAAAGTTTTCTTGGGGTGGGAAAGACATGGGATTCGAATGTGATGGGAGGAGCTGGTGAAGAGGTCTAGCGGGCATCTGCTGTGGGTCCCAGAAGCACCCACACCCTCCCTCGGGGGGAGAGTTCCCTCTAACGTGAGGGCCTGTGGGTCCATACACTGGTCCATCTGGGGAAGCGTAGGGGCGTTTGGGATTTAGAAGTTGTCCTTCCTACCATGCCTGACTCAGGCTTGCATTTCTTGAAGCCACATGGTAGGCGTTGGGCAGTCTGGGGAACAAAGGCCTTGTTCTGCCTGGAGACACCCCACTTGTCACTCGCACCCAGTGCCGTGATGCTGAGCCAGGAGCGCAGCATTGGGGCAAAAGGGGTGGAAGACACGCTGGTTCCTTTTTTGGGCCATGATCCTTCTCTGGGGGGTCAGGAGTCAACCCGTCTGTTGCCTTGTGGCTTCGGAAAAGCAGGACCAAGACCGTTGGAGCCAGGAAATAGCACAGAGCTAAGCTACTTGAGCAGGTGAGGGAAGAGCATCTCGGTGGGGTCCTGATGGGCGGGCTTCCCAGAGGCCCGGCTGACTGTGTGGCTGGAATCTGGCTCTGGCAGGACTCCGTGAGCCACAGGCCTGCCTGTGATTGGTCCAGATGGCCCCTGTGCTCTGGTGGGGGTCTTCAGTTATGTCCAGTAACGGTCAGTGTCAGACACTCCGCACTGTCTGTGCAGGACAGGGCTGTGCCACCCCGGCCCTTTCCACCAGGGCAGCGTGGTCAGCAGGCGGCCTCCAACCGCCAGCCCGTGGGAGCCGCTGGAGCTTCTGGGGCTGGGACCATTGTGGCTCCAAGCTGGGCTCCCTCTGTCCTCACTGCCCCTTCCTCCCTCAAGTGTGTGCCCAGGGCACCAGACACCTGCCCAGGTTTGGGCTGATCAGCCAGCCTCTGAGAGCCTGGCTGGGCCTGGAGGCGGGAAGTCGCCCGGTCCAAGGTCCAGGGTGACAGGGTGGTGTGGGCGGCTGCACAGTCACTCAGAGTAAAGGTGACGTCCCCACTGGGCCTGCGGACTCCCATGGTGTGAATGGGATACCCCCTCCGCCCAATATTCTGGCTGTTCCTAGAAGGTGCCAGAACCATCCTGTCTCAGGCCTGGTCCTGTGTGTTCCTGGGTGGGGCGGGCCTCCCCATGAGCGTCACAGGCCCCCCACCTAGGCTTGGCCTGGCCCCACCTCCCTCGTCCGTCCCTGGTGTGAGGTGTCTGCCGTGCGCTCCGGTCTGGGCACCCCCAGGAAGTCTGCGGGTGGCAGTGGGCAGGGCGCCGCCTCTTTAAGGCGACATCACAAGGCTGCGGAAGGTGGGGCCCTCGTGGAACTCCGGTCCGGGCCGTTTCTGCGGCACCGTGGCTCTGGATTTCCATCTCCATGGGGCCACAGGCCCACACGTGAGCAAGGCGTCCTGGTCATGGCCGAGGGGAACGAGCTAATGAACAGGCTCATGAGCGAGAACGCCGACCTCAAGAAGCAGGTGCGGCTGCTCAAGGAGAACCAGATGCTCAAGCGCCTGCTGAGCGAGAGCTGCCAGGAGAGCTGCGGCCGCAGCAGCCGGGACCTCCTCTTCCCCAAGGCACCGGCCTACCCCGAGGACTGCTCCCCCACGACTGCAGGTGAGGCCGCAGGGTGGCCCGGGCGTGGGGGGCTGCTCCTGCAGGTGGTCCCGGCCACCCCTCCTTCCCCCAGGTCCAGGTGCTCACCCTGCTGTGTGTCCTCGGGTGAGCCTGTCAGTCCACACCTGGAAAACGAGGTGCGGTGGCTTCGCCCCTTGAGCTGGTGTGTGTATCAGTGACCAGCACACAGGCGCTGCCACGGTGGCTTCAAACAGGATGTGTGTGATCTCGGGACCTCCAGGCCTCGGGGTTGGCCCCGCCAGGCCCGGCACTTGGCCCTGCCGCCTGCATCCCTCTCGGAGAGCAGACTGGCCCGAGTGGGGTTCACATGGCCCTCCGTCTGACCCCACGACCGGCAATGTCCTTCCAGCGGTGACCACGGACAGCCTGACACGGGCCTCAGTGACCAGCTGCAGGGGTGACTGCGGGAGATCCTTGGGTCAAAGGCTGGGAGCGGTTGACATGTTGAAATAGACACGAATGCTCCCCAGAGGCTGCGGCCCCTGCACTCTGCCGACCGAGGAGCAGGTGCCTGCCCTCCCTGCCTTCCCAACACCCGGCCCGTGCAGCAGCCACGCCTGCTCTCGGGGAAGCGTGTGCACGGTTCCCAGCCAGGCTCCTGTTGGGCTGTTCCCTTCACTCGGGTTTTCAAGCACAATGCACAGTTTCAAAGGGACCAGAGGGGGTGGCAGGTCCCCTAAGCCCCAACCTGGGCCCCCCACCTCAGTTCTCGGGGGTTCACGCAATCCTCATTGTTCTGGGTGGAGATGGTTTTTAGTAGTTTTTGAGTGTTCTCTATGTACAGTCCTCTGCCTCTTTCCCTTTAACATCACGACATGGTTATTTCTGTGCTGCTATAAGTATATTTTTAAATGACTGACTGTGATATTAAAAAATCACATGAACACAATTTAATGAACTCTTTTCCTCATGTTTGAAAGTATACTTCTTTCTTATCCTGGGATAAATAACACAGCAAAAGCACTTTTATATTTAGGGTTATTTCCTTAGGTACGTTTTGCTAAAGTAGAGTTATCAGCTCAGAGGCAGGGTAATTATTCTTCACATTATTTCTTTTTCTCACATTTTTATCTACTTATTCTTCCATATACCCCAAGGATGACTTCACCCACTAAGCTATGCTGGCTCACAGTTTTTCCAAGTCTCCTCACCTGTTTCTCACATATAAATTTTTCACATTTATCAGTAAGTTTATTCTGGGAGCACTTCATGTTCTTTCTTACAGTTATGGATTTTCCCCCCATTGTATTTGTGGAGTCATCAGAATTGATGTATTTTGGAAAGCTGTTGGTAGGTAAATACCCAACCTGCATCAGCCTCTTCATAAGCTGTTTTTATTCCACTATTTTTCAATTCATTCCCGTTTTCTGCGTCTACGACTGCACTATTTATAAATGACCCTTTAAACGAGATTGACAGCGTGCACACTTGTTTTGGTCTTTGTTTCTCAAACTCTCAGAGCTTTGGCTCCAGCAGCCTGTCCCTGTCCTCCTGGCAGCCGGTGGGCAGTGATGCCCTGTCTGCCCAAGGGTGGCGGACACGCAGGCTGGGTGGTAGGGAAGAGTCCTTCTTTTTAAAAAACAAAAACTTGAGAAATGGCTCATCTTGTTCAATTTTGATGACCTTGTTGTGGCATCCGTGGAGGTGCGTTCAGTGGCTTCCCTCGGCCTGTCCGTGGGGTGTCGCTGCTCTGCTCCCTTGGGAGACGCAGGGTCCT